GCTTTAAACTTGTGATCCTCCTTCCTCAGACTCCCAAACTGCTGGGATTACAAGTGTCTGCCACTGTGCCCGGCTCAGACACTGTTTTATCTTTTCTATTTGACTTTCTTTAGAAATAGAGTCTGGCCAGGCACAATGGGGCATGCCTGTAATCCCAGCTTCCCAAGAGGCTGAGGCAGGAGGATCCCAAGTTCAAGACTAGCCTGGGCAATTTAGCAAAATCTTTTCTCAAAATAAAATAAAAAGAGTTGGGGCACTGAGGCTGTGGCTCAGTGGTAGAGTGCTTGCCTAGCATGTGTGAGGCACTGGGTTTTATTCTCAGCACCATGTATAAGTAAGTGAGTAAAATAAAGGTCTTCACATCTAAAAAAAAATTTTAAAAATAAAAAATAAAAAGAGTTGGGTCATAGCTCAGTGGTAGAGCACTTGTGTAGCATATGTGGGCCCCTGGCTTCCATCCCCAGCACTGAAAAAAAAAAAAATGAATTCCAGATGCTCAGATTTATCTTCACCATCATCCCCCCCCAAAAAAAAAAAAAACTTAAAACAAAAAATTTTTTAAATACCGGGGCCTTGCGCATGCCAGGTAAGTACTCCACAACCGAGCTACATCCCCAGCCCCTCTTCTCTTGCAGTGCTGGGGATGGAATCCAGGGCTTCACGTATGCTAAGCAGGCGCTCTACCACTGAGCTACATTCCCGGCCTTGCATGGGGCTTTTTAAAGGCTGGTCCATTTCAGTTTTGCCCTTACCCCTGGGAACACCTGGGGTGCTTTCCAAAGGCTCTTCAGCTTGGCACCTGCCTGCTGCATCACAAGTCTGCTGCAAGTCTGGCTCGGTTCTGTGGCTTCCCAGCTATTTTTTGCTGAGTTTCTTGAAGTCTCACCCTATGCACGTGCAGCTTGCCAATGGCTTGAGGGAAATATGTTTGCAGATTCGGGGACTCCCTTCTCTGTGGTCCCATCTATTCCAGGATTGTACTACCTCTCCTTTTCCAGACACTCTGGCACCCCCAGACTCCAACCTGTCTTCTCCGTCTAGCGACTCTCTCTCTGGGCGGGACTCCATTTCCCCTTCTCAGCAGCGATTGCAAAGTACACTCAGGGGAGAAGCCAGGCTGCCTGCCCCTGAAACTCAACTTCTGAGCTTCACTTGTTTCCAAGACTAGTGCCTCAAGTGTCTTCCCCACTGGCTGCTCTCCAGCGACTTCCAACCATTGTTTGTCATTTGTCCGGTGTTTACAGCTGTCATTGGCAAAAACGTCACCCTGGCACAAGTGACTCCATCGTGGTCGGAATCGCACATCTCCTTCCCACATTTCCCCATCACTAAGGCCGGCACCTATCTGCCAAAGAGCTCTTCGACCCAGTCCCTTCTGTCCCTCTGCACAGCTGACACCCTTGTCCAGCCGCCCTCCTCCTCTGCACAGCCTCACCCACCTCATGAGGTTGCCCCTCATCCACTCTTGCTTCCCTCCGCTCTGTCTCCCATCCTGAGGGCAGAATGATTGGTTTCCAAACATATATGTGATTGTGAAAGTCCCTCCTGTGTGGGGTCCTGGCTTCCATCTGTGATCCCCTGCTTTCCCAGGGTGAGGTCCGTGTTTCTCACCACAGGCCACGAGGCCCTATGGGATATGACCCGGCCAAGTTCACCTGCTCATCCCCTGCATTTCCTTCCTCCAGCCACTCCAATCTCACCCTCCTCCGGCCCTTTGAATGGGTTGCTTCCTCTGCTGGAAAGCCCTCTCCAGGGGCTCGTCACCTTTCACTCCTCAGCCACCAGGGTCTAGTTTAGCTGCTGCTTTCTCTAGAAGCCCTTCTCTGAGCTCAGTCAAGCATGGCCCAGGGTCCCACAGACCCTGCTTTCCTCACCCCTGCCCGGCCCCTCTGCCTGTGCCTCTCAGGTCCAGCCCTGATTAGTCTCAGCAGACCCATCTGGTGGTTGGGTCTGACACCATTAGCACCCCACCCCACACACTGAACTGCGAGTCCCACGGAGGCGAGGCCCAATCTTGATCAGTTCTGTGTCCCCAGCATTACGTAAGTACAGGATGTGATTTAACCAACTACTTGAAGCTGTCACAGAAAGTTAAGATGGCATTAGAAGTGGGGGTAGAGGCATATAAATTATTAGATTTCTGAATTGACAGAGGGTGTCCCAAGCTCCTTGGGGACCCTTGATCATGCCCAACTTTCTCCCTAGAAGGCTCATGTCCCCAGGATCCAGCGGAGGCCCACCTGGGATCTGTTCCTGCACTGACCACAATTGTTAAATATCTTGATTGTCGTCTCTGATTAGATGCATTCCTTAGACCCAAGTGTTAGTGCTTTCCTTAAGCACATCTACCTGAGAAAGGAAGACAGTGTCTTCTATTCTGACACTTCCTTAAAAATTGCCAGGCGCCATAGGGCACTTCTACAATCTCAGTGACTCAGGAGGCAAAGGCAGGAGGATTGCAAGCTTGAGGCCAGCCTCAGCGAGACCTTCAGTCTCAAAAAAATTAAATAAGAAAGGATTGGGGATATAGCTCAGTGGTAAAGCAGCAGCCCTGGGTTCGATCCCCAGAACCAAAATAAATAAATAAATACTCCTGATGACATTTTCTTTAAAATGATCATCTGGCTCCGTCCTGCTACCAGTTAAAAGTTTGTGGTTCAGATGGAAGAGAATCAGGATGGATGAAGAAGGAAGACCCAGTGCTTTCTAATGTCACTGTGACTGCACTGACCTTTCTCAACTTCCTTCTTTACCAGGGCCAGAAAGAGGAATCTCTGCTAACAATGCAACATGGGTCCCTTCCTTCCTCACCCTCTCCTCTCCTGCGGAAATTTGGGAGAATTTGACTCTTTCTAAGTCTTTTTCTACTGACCAGAGCCTAAAGCCATGAAAGTCAGGGAAAGGGCTTATGGAAGTTTCTTCCCCCGCCCCCTTTTTAAAATTGTCCAGATCAAGGACCAGGGGACTTTCCCAGCTCACTGCAGCCTCTCATTCTCTCCTCCCCTCTCCTCCCCTTCTCTATGGGTACACAGGATTGAATCCAGGGGCACTTAACCACTGAGCGACATTCCCAGCCCTTTTTCTTTGGACACAGGACCTGGCTAAATTGCTTAAAGCCTCACTAAGTTGCTGAGGCTGGCTTTGAACTTGCAATCCTCCTGCCTCAGCCTCCTGAGCCACTGAGATTACAGGCATGTGCCACTATGCCCGGCGCATGCGCCTGCACTCTCTCTCTCTCTCTCTTTCTGAGATAGGGTCTCACTATGTTGCTCAAGCTGTTTTCAAACTCCTCGGCTCAAGCAATCCTCTCTGTCTCCCAAATAGCTGAGACTGCAGGCGTATGCTTGCTGACTTTCCTTAAGAACTTTGAGTCTCTGCTTGTGGCTTGGCCCCTTAGCATCTATTGCTTGGATCATTTCCTGTCCCCAAGGAAAAATTAGATAAAAAAAAAAAAACACACACACACACACCAGCAGGACACCTCATTTACCTCTCAAGCATGCGTGTGAGACTGTTAAGGGAATATGTTGCATCTTGTACAGGACAACCATCCATGCAAATGTGTGGGCCAGGTGTGAGTTTATAATCGGGAGCAGGACTGGGGATAGTTTGAGATGAGGAAGGGTGGATTCGGGGAAAGGTTGGAGTTGTAGACAGTGTGGGGATCAAATGAAATTGGGGCTGGGCTTGGATGGGTTTGAGTTGGGGTTGGTATGGGGTAAGGTATGCAGTGGAGGTTGGGCTGGTGTAGGATTGGGGACAGGATTGAGATGGTAATGAGGATGGGCTGGTTGGGTGTGTTGCGGTGGTGAGAGATGCCCCCCCCCCCCAACACTCACCAGATTTGGGCTGGTTGCACAAATTGAACCCACACACGGTCTCGGTAAGGCTGATGATCTGTGAGCCGGTCCGGTAGCTCATGGTCCTGTTGGTCTTCTCTGAGTGGGCACAGCCTCTCTCCACCACCTCCAACTCTTCTTCACTTGTGAGGAAGGTATCTTTAGTGCCCCTGAGGCTCCCCTGGGCCCAACCAATCTGTGACACTCCTAGTCTCTGGGCCATCTACTCCCAGGGCTGATCCTTGCCGGGATTTCCCTCTTTTTATCGTCCAACTCTGTGGTTTCCTAAAGTCATCTCCCACTCCACCCCTCATAGGGACACCCTGCTCTCTCTTAGTGACCCTATCACTGGGACTTTCTGGATCCATCTACCCCTTACCCCTCCCCCACAGCTTAGTGATCTCAACAGGGAGAAGCCTCTAATAGACATTTTTGTTGTTTTTTTGTTTTAGTACTGAGGATTGAACCCAGGGATGCTTAACCACCGAGCCACATCCCCAGCCCCTTTTAATATTTTATTTAGAGACAAGTTGCTTAGGGTCTTGCTAAATTGCTGGGGCTGGCTTTGGATTTGGGATCCTCCTGTCTCAGCCTCCTGAGACACCAGGATTATAGCGTACACCACCACACCTGGCTGACCTGGAACCCTTGATCTTTCTGCTTCTGCCTCTTAACTAGCTGGAATTGCAGGGCTGCACCACCACAGCTGGCCCAAATATTTTTTAAAGGAATGGAAGAAAAAATATACTGGTAAGCCTATCATAGTGGTGCATGCCCGTAACCCAGCTAATCAGAGGGCTCAGATAGGAAGATTGCCAAGTTCAAGACCAATCTGGGCAACTTAGCGAGACCCTGTCTCAAAACAAATTTTGGAAACAAGGGCTGGGGATGTCGCTCAGTGGTAGAGTGCTTGTCTAGCAGGTGGGAGGTTCTGGGTTCAATACCCAATAATAGAAACAAAAGAAAAAAGATGTAGTTAAAACGCCCTGTTTGCACTTCCCAAATCTAGTTCCCTTCATGTCCAGTCCAGAGGCAACCATGTGTAAGTAGCTCTTACACTATGTATGCAGAACAATATGTATTGCTGTTTTCTGTGTTGTATTACTTTTTTTTTTTCTTTTGGTACTGGGGATTGAAGCCAGGGGCACTTTGCCAGGGATAACACACCCAGTCTTTTTTATTTTATTTCAAGACAGGGTCTCACAAAGTTGCTGAGGTTGTCCTGGAACTTAAAATCCTCCTGTCTCAGACTCCCAAGCTGCTGGGATTACAGGCAAGTGCCACTCTACCTGGTATGTTTTCCATTTGTTTGTTTGTTTGTACTGGGGATTGAATTCAGAGCTTTACCAAGGCTAGGCAAGTGATCTACCACTGAGCTGCATCTCCAGCCCTGTTTTCTATGTTGTAAAGCTAATAGAGGGTATCATGCTCTGCAACATGATTTTTTTCCTCTCAACCTTATGCTTTTGAGATGGGTCTACCTGTAGACACCTGAAGCTTGAGTTCCTTTCTTTCATTGTTGCATAGCATCCCATTATGTGATCATACCATGGCGTCTCTGCTGCAGACAGTCTTGAGATTGTTTCCAATTTCCCATAGCATGAACACTGCTGCTGAGAATATCCTATACATGTGTCCTTGGGCATCTGTGACCAAGGGTCCCTGGAGTTTCTACATTCCTAGAGTTGAACTGCTGGCTAGGGTATGCTGATCTTCATCCGAACTAAATATTGCCAAATTGTTCTGGGCAGCGTAGGTGCTGATTTACCCCCTATCACAGGGTCTGTGTCTTCACATCTTCACCAATCTGCATGTTGTCAATATTCAACTTTATTTTTGGTGTTGGGGATGAAGCCAGGGCCCTGCTGCAAGCTAAGAATTCACTCTATCACTGAGCTATAACCCTAGCCACTATTCAGAATTTTAAATGACTGCCAGTCTGGCAGGTGTGAAATGGGGTGTGTCTGTCTGTTTCTCTCTCTCTCTCTCTCTCTCTCTCTCTCTCTCTCTCTCTCTCTCTCTCGTTTGCATTTCCCTAATTTCTGGTGAGAGAAGTTTTCTTGGTCACTTGCGATTCCCTGTTGCTCTTGAGTGGGGCTGGGGAAATCTCACCTTCCCCATATGTGCAGGACTGTGGTCCTGCAGAGGTCCTGGCCAAGGGCGCACTCTTCCGCCTGGTGGCACCCTTTGTCGTCACACTGCATGCACCGCAGGCCCCAGGAGGCTGGGGGAGGGAGAGAGGGAAAGGAAAGGAGCGAAGCTTACACGTTTGGTCACAGGATCTGCCTCCCCGCCTCCGCCCTTTGCCCCAATACCAGGGCCAGCTCCAGGCCCAGTCCCCTGTGGTTTCTGTGCCACATCCTTCCCGCCCGTCGGTTCCAATGCTGGGTTCCAATCTATTCCTGTCCAACATTCTCTGTCCACAAATCCTTCCCCAAAGTCTCGCCAGTGCCCTTCTCTTTAATTCTGCCCTCGAGCAGCATCTCTCCTGAAAGCCCTGTCCCCGCCTCTCAACCAGGACGTTCTATCCCCGCTCCCTTTTAGGTCCCCTCCCCTCTCCTGGTGCCCTCGGTTTATTCCGTCTCTAAACTCTGCCAGGGCGCTCGAGCCTCACCCTACCATTTCGACCTAGAGGCTGTGCCTCCTCCTGGTGCCCTTCTGTTACCATCGTCGCCCCGCCACCTGCGCGCCCCAGGTTCTACCCCCCTCCATACCCTCTCTCCCACCTTCCCTTCCGCCCATCGGTTCTTTCTAAAAAAGAAAAAGAATTTGTTTTCGGTTCTGGGGATTGAACCCAGGGGCTACACCCCCACCCTTTGTGTAAGTTGCGAGGCTGGTTTCGAACTTGTGAGTGTTTGGGATTCGGATCCCCAACCGCTGGTCCCCGCCCCTAGCTCCTCTGGGTCCTCCAGACCCCGCCCCTAGCTCCTCCCCGCCCCTCTGTCCCCGCCCCCAGCTCCTCCCTGATAGCCTAGTCCCGCCCCCAGACCCTCTGCCCAGGTGTTAGACGCGCAGGGTAGCTCTCCGGGTGTGGGTCTCGGCCCTCCAGCCCTCCGGGCCGACTCCCTAACCCTGTCCACTTTCCTTGTCCAGGGCCCTATTCCCGCCAGCGGGCCTCCCAGACATCCCTTTCACCCCGAGTTTCTGAGTTATTACTCATTCCCGGCCTCCCGCGGCGCCGAGAGCTCTCTAAGTTATTCATTGCAGCCGCAGCAGCAGCACCTCATCCCCCCGACCCCCCCAACACACCGCCGCTGCCATCTGGACCTGACTCAGTGTATTTCCCATTTCCTCTTATTTCTCAAACCCATTGCCCTACACTTTTCCGGGGGAAGCGGGTGAGACCGTGGTGTCCGTGAGTGGATATAGAAGGGAAGTGTCTTCGAGGGACGAGTCCAGGGGTCTCTCAGCACCTAGCTCTGAGATGCTTGGCTCCAGTCTCTTTAGATTTTTTTTTTTTGTAAAATGCGACGCTGCCCTCCCTGGATCCAACAGAGTAGAGAGCCTCGTGGGGCGCCGCTGGGGAGGGGGGTGTCAGAACCCCACTTATTCAAGAATGGACTGTGCGATCTCAGACCGGTTACTCAACCTCTCTGTGCCTCAGTGTCCTCTGTGATATGGATTAATATAGTGCCATCTGCCTAGTTTGAAATTGCAAAGGAGCTTAGAAGGGCGCCTGAATGAAGAAAGCACTCGCGAAACGGTCGCCCTGGTTAAATATCTTCCTTCAAGTAGTATTTTTCTTTTATCTTTTTCTTCTTTCTTTCTTTTCTTTTTCTTTCTTTTATTTATTTATTTTTTGTTCCAGGGCTTGAACCCAGGGGCGCTCAGCCCTGAGCCCATCCCCAGCCTTTTTTATTTTTTATTCCGAGACCGGGTCTCGCTAAGTGGCTGAGGCTGGCTTTGAACTTGAGGCCCTCATGCTCAGCCTCGGGAGCCGCTGGGATGACAGGCGTGCGCCCCCCGCCCCCGCCGGCTCCACGAGTCCCTGAGCACTCGCCCAGTGCCGGCTCCTGAGCCACGTGAGGGTTCACGGGGATCTTGATCATTTTCAGAGCCGAGAACTGAGCCCTGCGGCTCCGACCAACCAGAGTCCCCCACATCCCCACCCGACCCGTGGCAGCGCCGTGTCGCCGGCCGGGGACACCCAGCCCCTACCTGGAACGCAGGTCTGAAGCAGCAGCAGGAGCAGCGGCAGCAGCGGCAGCGGCGGGCGGCCCATGCTCGGTTCTCGGCCGGCCTCCGGGAGCCTCCCCTCTGGGTCTGACCTCCCGGGAAGGAGACAGTTTTGTGGCCCTGGGGGCGCCACCCAGACGTTTCGCTAAAGGTTCAGTCACCGCAGATGCGTGGGCGCCTCCCCTTCCTCCCCTTGGGTCTCCTCCACACCACAGGACTTCCCCTCCTAGGGGCGGGGAGCTGGGCAGTTACGTGGCTTGGCCGTGACTCACCGCGGTCACGGCGCCGTCATCCAACTGCCTGGGTTCAAATCCCAGCTCTTCCTCTTCCTGCTGGACCTGGGGCAATCACTCTTCCGAGCTGTAAAATGAGGATAAAACTTGTGGCCACGGTAGATTGGATGTGGCTGAGTGTTAGATAGCACTTTTTTATTAGCTTTATCGGGGGTGTTGATGGTATTGTGATTACGAGAAAAAAAATGCCTTCATTGCTGAGTTGTGCTGGGAAATATTTGGATGTGAAATGACATGAGGTCATTTACCTTAAAACATTTTAGCCCCCAATAGATATGTCTGTTAAGAAAAATGTCTTGCAGTTATGTGGGAAAATAGTTCTTATTTTTTAGAGGTCCTCATTGAAGTATCCAGGGGTGAATATCCTCGATGTTGATTTGCTTTAAAATACTTTAAAAGAAAATAAAGACATAAAAAAGGCAAAGTATTGCATTAACTATATCAAATTTACAGGAGCTTACTATGCCATTCTATCTTCTTTTCTCTGTGTTTCTAAATGTGTATAATAATGGGAAAAAACAGTAAAATAAAATGGCAAAAAGATAGCCTCCTGTTTCCACCAATCAGCAATTTAATGCAGGGGAAATATGCAGAACAGCTGCTAGCCACGGTGGAAGCCAACATATTCCTTCACATTGACCAAGGATCTAGTTTGTGCTGGGCACTGGTCCAGAAGCCAGAGACACAGCAGGAAACAAAGCGCAGTTCCCACCCTTGTACCACTGTCCCTGGGGAGTAGGTGTTCGCTATCTCATCTTCCACTGTGATAAGCACATGGAGAAAACAAAGCAGGCTGAAGGGACACAAGGGTGCAGGTGAGGAGTGAGCTGTTTTAGGTGGGGTGATCCAAAGGGCTTCCCAAGCTGGTGGCATTTGACAAGTGAGGGAAGAAATCCCGCAGAAGTGTGGGGAAACATTTTCGGGGAGCAGGAACAGACAGTTCAAAGGCCCTGGGGTGAGAATGTGCCTGGTGAGATCTAGGAACTACGAGGACTAACTACCTCTACCAAAATGATTATATTATTGTGATTCTTATTAATTCACTGAAGCTTTGAGCTAATACTTATAAGATAAAGTAAATCCTTTCTTGTAAGAGGTGGGGCCCAGTGGTTCACTGTGCAGGTGGTCCCCAGACTACGACAGTTTCAGTGAAGCTCACCCTGGGTAGGTCACCCTGCGCCAACACGGTCCTCTATTCTGAGCCTGTTTCCTCATCTGGAAAACAGGGCACCCCTTGGGGATGGCATGAAGTCTGAACAAGACGTTAATGTGAATGAGGTGGGGAAATAGAAAGCGGGGGTGCTGGTCTAGGCAGGTTTGAGGTCTAGCTCAGCCCCGGGCTCCAGATGATCTCAGGAAGATGCTTTCCTCCACTGATCCTCAGTTTTCCCACCTGTAAAATGGGTCTGGGGTAGGTGGGAGGCAGACATCTCCCAGTGAAAAGAAAACTCAGGGATGAGGACCCTCAGAGCTGTAGGTGAGCTGTGGTCACCTGGTGGGTGACCTCAAAGCCGGTCTTTCCTTTTTTATTTAAGGATGAGGGAATTCACCTGGAGCTCACCCCACCTCACATAGCTCTGGCCCCTCCCCACCCTGTGTCTCTGTGTTTCCTCCCTTTCCTTTGTTTCTGACCCTCTCTCTTGCTCTCTCTGGCTCCCTCAAGTTCTCTCTGCCCCGTGTCTTTCTGTCTTTCTGTCTCTCTGTCTCTGCTTCTTCCCCCTCCGTCTCTCTCTGTTTCTGAGTCCGTCTTTTTCTCTGACTCCTTCTCTCTGCCTCTCCCTCAACCAGCACACACCTGTAAGTTTCCGGGTGACGTAAGGAGG